GAATGCTTTATTCATGGCGACGTTAATCCTGGCAATGTAATAGTATCAACATCATCATCCAAAAGTACTAGTGTTAGCCAAGTGGGATCATCACACCAAGGAATAGGAGTAATTGATTTTGGAGATTTTCACTACAGCTATTTGATAATAGAATTGGCAATTGCAATAGCTCATGTTATGGCTGAAACAACAACCGATGCAATAGCTAATAGTGGGCATTTATTAGCCGGTTACCTTTCTGTTGTCCATTTAAATCCTAAAGAATTTAATCTCCTTTATGATGTAATATTAGCGCGATTATTTCAGCTAATAGTACTGTCTGAATATGTCTATACCCTTGATTCTAGCAATAGTTACGTTATTGATAGGGTCCCTAATTATTATCAAGCAATAACGATGTTGTGGAAATTATCAAGAGAAGAAGTCTATCAAAGATGGCATGATATCATCCAATCATATTAGTGATACAGTGAAGCACTTTACTTAGTTCAACAGATGGGCAACATAACATTTTCTTTTCTTAAAAGTGAGATTTTTTATCAGACTACTACTGCATTCAATTTAGATAGCGCAATAGGTTGATTTTAGCTAATCCCTGTTATATATTTTATAACATCTATAAACTGAATTATCTTTAATTATATCTTCATGCATACGATTATTATATAATCAACGATACATTATATTATCCATAGTAACATGCTAGATACTCATTTTTATTTATTTGTTTCAGCCATGTTACTGAATAAAATGTCCTTCAATTTAACCATATTGAATCTATTATTCGAGTGTAATTATAAATTTCAGACTTACCGGATAGTTTATTCTGTACATTGAAATCATTATTATTTATTTTTGATATGATGGCTGATATCCTAAGGGTTATCCTGAAAATTGATTTTTTAATAATTGCTGTTGTTGCTTTTAATTGATACATCGTACCGTTTCCTATAGTAAAATGATTGATTTTCTCTAATTACGTTTTATTTTATATTTATGTCTTTTAATCCTAAAGGTTATAGTCTAGTATAGAATATAAACTAATAGTGTATTTACAGGGGCACAAATATTGTTTGGCTGCGCTAAATGATTGATCAATCGGTCTACTAATAAAATACTTTTCCATCAAAGCGCAAATTCGCTTAATCTATACGGTTTATTGGTTTGTTTTATTAGAGGTAGGTTAACAAGCGTTTTATAGCATTCGATATTAATATCATCGACTTATTAGTACGGTATTTGCAAATGGTAAGTAACCTATCTATGCATATTGTATACTATATATATATACACGTACATTGTATAGTATCTTACGGTTAATTATCATCGTGATTTAGTTTAATCGCATCTTAATCATATCTTACGGTAAACCATGCCAACAGGAAATGATAGCACAGTACTCGCATAACTATTTTTAGCTATATGAAGGACGAATGATAGTTATTTAGAGAAACTGAAATCTATGATTTTAATTAAAAGATCATTAAAATTTACATTTGAAGAATAAATGCGTGTATACACAGCTATTATTGTTATGATTAATTTTAGAGTATCTTTAGTAACAATTTACAGAATGATCATATTACCACCTAAACTACGGTCGGTATGTACCATATTGGCTCTTTAGTTCAAAAATCACATTAACACTCCATCATTGGTACATACAATATACCAAGGAACAGCCGAACCTTATTACTGGTAATTAATCTATGATTGTCAAATTCCATTCATCTAAAATGTAAAATGACCATTAGGTGAGGGATGGACGGCATTATTTTTGCTAAGCTTAGATTTTGAGCTCAAAGATTGAAGATTTGTATCAGTGCCCGATCTATTTGACATTGTAAAGGTATTTTTATCAATTTGTTTGAAAAATGTTTTAGCCCAGCAATTACGAACTTCTCTTTTAACCACACAATAAAAGACAAATATCAGAAATCCCTGGGAACCAGCCAGAATAGCGAATAGAAGATGCGATAAATTACGCCAAAGACTGGTATCAAAGAAGGCCAATATGCCAACCAGCCATGTCAACCCAAATAAAGACATCAATCCAATTATAGAATAAAAGCGAGAGAACGTCATGGGTATATTTCGCTCTTTTGACAATTTCCAGACTTTGAAACAAATCGTAATGAAAATGAGAACGTTGATGCCCACCAACACGAACATGGGATAAACGTAGGTTGCCGTAATCCATTTAGAATGCGTTGCACAACTAGATTTATAATGAAATCATCTAGAATTAAATATACTATTTGTTTGTATTGAAGTACGCGTAATTACACGTACGTATACGAATATACCGATTATTCAAATTATCTTTTATAAAACAATATTGGTAAATTTGAGTTGAAACAGTGACCTCAATTAGCGACAACATAACAGAACTAATGATCAAAGTAATTACAGAATCAATTTGTTTATATGCAACTAAAAACCCGAAGTTAATTATTTAATCTCTAAAGCATATACAAGTTACTAAAATATCCCCTTCGAATATATGAATTTCTTCAAACTAAATTCTTACCTTCTATGATACATCATTCCGTACTGACCAGAATTTAACAGCAACCCAACAGTGATTACAATTAGTGGAACACCTATAAGATATTCGATAATTAATTATGGTAGGATGTTACGAATCATATAACATTATCGGTACCCGATTTAGTGTTAGTAACAATATTAAAATTACTCAACTAAGATGATATTAATTATAATCTATTGTAAAAGAATACAAGTTGCAAATCGTCTAATAAATTCTTCGTTGTATATCGCATAATCAATCTTATTATCTTGAGCAGTTAATTTTAAGGTACCAGTGGCTAATTACTATTTTTCATTTCGTCTTACCCCATGCAAAACTGCCAGCAATAAATATCACTTTTTCAGTTGATAAAGACATCCGATGAATTGCTGAGTAAACTCCAATTAGTTCATAATATAATCGAATAGCCAATATAGTCATCCATAAAACTGTTGACATACTAAAGTAGTGATCCACTGCCATTACAATTTTACAAACGATAATTGAACCAGGAACGTATACTTTTATTATTTTAAATACATATCTGCAGATTTTATTAAATGACAATAAGGATATAATAATGTTACTTTGCCGCTCACGTAGTTTCCTATGTTGTGAAATAAAACGGATTAATTAGCAAATACTGTTAAATTATTGTAACAAATGCATTCGTGAGCAAAATTCTATATCTTAATGACAGAATTGAGCATATTAGCCTTGACTGTAGATATATCGCATGATTATTATATTAAAGTCAAGATGAAATAATCTCAATTACGCAGTTAATACCTGAAAGACAGTAATGTCGTTACTGTCAATAATAAGCTAGCTATTGAAATAACGCGAAGCCCTAACGATAGCTTCCCTAACATGCTGTAGAAGGCGAAAATAGCCATTAAGTTATGATTACCACCACCATTCCCATGAGAGGGCGTATTGATACTACCAGAATGTGATCCATTTTCTTCGATGCAACTGCTTACGATATTAAAATCTTTTAGAGTCTTTGTTATATTCTATTAAAATGCAATGTAAAAAGCGATTAGATTTTCGTGAATTAGTGTACCTAAGATAACTAGTAAATCTAATATTTTAATACTTAAAATCTTTTAGATAATTAGATTATAGTATCGATTTCAATGCTCGATAAATTCAAATAAAATTTGATTATACCTATATAGTCGTACTGTAACAAATATACATACACATTATACGGAAACAGAATAATCTTAGCTATTTAAAGCAACAGTGCTATAATTCTTATTTCATTTTGGAGCCTCCTTGAAGGATCGCTCATAGTATTTTGTCACAATAACAATATTTCAAGGAAATTTAATTATATAAAATATACTTTCCGGAGCCAAGAGAACTAATATAAGGTAATTTACCTTTAAACTTTCTACTTAGTGCACAAAAATAATTAACAGTATTTACAAAATGACTAC